ATATATATATATATACATACATACAAAAATGGAGACTGGGCTGGCCTGGGTCAAATTCAGAATCCTTAACTACATCTTCAGGAATAACAAAGCAAAATACAATCAATGCTGCGAAGGAAATGCATTGGTGCAGAATACATGAGAGAAGGCAACAGATCAACACCTATGAATCAAAGTGGTTGCTGCTGCATTCAATAATTTGGAGAAAAAAAAAAAAAAAAAAAAAAAAAAAGTGCTAAAAAAAAAAAAAAAATGTGCTCTGATCTGATGAAATAACGCTAAAGTAAATAAAGTGCTGCAATGTATGTGTGTATATCATAATTAGAGTTTACCCTCCAATTCGAGACCAGTCTAATTCGAGACCATTTTTTCGAAGTACCTACCAACTGGCAATCTTTAGTCTTTTAAACACAACGCCCTACTCCTTAATTAGAGACTCAAAGTTCTAAAGGTGGTCTCAAGTATTGAGATAGCGACTGATGTGAATTTTTAAGAAAGTGAGAAACAATACTATTGTTTAAATACAGGCTTACCGTGGATTCCAATTATCATTATGCTGTCTGTTGATAAAGATTTCTACAGTAATGATAAATAGTAAGTAACGATCAAACTGTATTACAAACTCATTGAGTTTGATTTTTTTCTTTTATTATTATAGTTGTCATTCATTACTTATAACCAGGCCTACTATAATCGAATAATAAGATAATATAAATACTATTGTAACAAAATAATGATATTATAATACTTCATGTACAATTTATTATCATAATTATAAGCTCATTACTTAATAATCATTATATTTAATATTAATATTATTTCATTTAGTTGTTACATCAACAGTACTGAGAAGGGTGCCCTAATCGGAGGAATTGTTGTGCCAGTAAGTGTTATTATCTTTGGAAACTGCGTTGTTTTTGGTTTGGTTGTCAGAAAGATATTCAAAAACACCCAAGGAAAAATTGTTGATCATTCACAAAAAAAAGAGATTAGAGAGCGGTTTATCAACGCAGTGGCTATTTCATGCTTGCTGGGGCTCACCTGGATCTTCGGGTTTCTGTCTTTTGATCACGATGGCCAGTTGGTGTTTTTGGTTTTGTTCTGCATCTTCAACACATTTCAAGGCGTGGCAATCTTTGTGTTGTTCTGCTTTATGCGCAAAGAATGCAAAGACGTGTGGAAGGCATGGTTCAAGAAGTGCGGATTTCGGAAACCGAAGTTTTCCCAGAGCCTTCATACGCGTTCCGAGTACACGGGGAACAGTGGAGGAGAGATGAGTAACATCGGATCAAGTGAATTTACACAACAAACCAACGCTTCCTTTAATTCTGATTCAAGGTTCTAGTAATCATAGGCCTAGATCCTAAAAAAATCATTGATATTACTGTTATGGAATTAAAGATAAATTGTATTTCAGTACATCATATATATTACTTTTAATACTATCATTTATAATAAATACTCAGAACTGTTTTATACTCATAATTATCATGTATTCCGTAAGATAGTCATATAAATACCAGCAAAAGAGTATTTTTGTGAATCGTTGCCATCAATGGTGTAACCAGGGGGGTTTCAGGGTACCTTAGCACCCCCTCCCCTACCTTTATGTTTAAACGTGAAAAATAATAGTAAATTAATAGAAATAAATGGCAATTTCAACATGAATAATTAATATGACTGTTATGGAATTATAGATAAATTTCAATATCATCTGTATATTACATTTAATACCATCATATATAATAAATACTCAGAATTATTATAGACCCATAATTATCATGTACGCCTATTCCGTAAGACAGGCATATAAATACCAACACAAAAGTATTTGTGTATATCATTATCATCAATGGCGTAACCAAGGGGTTTTCTCGAGTTCAAAAAATAAAATATAAAATATATGGTATAGTCATAGCTATCGATATGCTCTGTCAGTTTTATGCCTTGCATAAAATTCAGTGATAAATGAACCTTCCGGATCCAAACTTAACAAAATGACCAACCAGAATCTGTCTCTTATACACATCTAGATGTGTATAAGAGACAGTTATAATACTTCATGTACAATTTATTATTATAATTATATGCTGGTTACTTAATAATCATTATTTATAATATTAATATTACTTCATTTAGTCATGCTTAGTAATCATGGTTTTGTTTAATTTTTGAAGTATAGATAAATTGTATTTATATCATCATAGGCCTATATATTACTTTTAATACTATCGTTTATAATAAATACTTAGAACTATTTTAGACACATAATTATGATGTATTCCGTAAGATAGGCATATGAATACCAGCATATGAGTATTGTGTATATCATTTTCATAACTGAGCAACCACCTTTTTGTTTAAAGCTGAAACAAATATAAATTGTAAATTAATTGAAATAAAAGGCAGAGTAAGACGTTAACATTAATGTATGGTGTAGTCGTAGCCTCTTCGATATGCTCCGTTCTAGTTGCTTGCCTTGTGTAACGTTCAGCGAGGTAATATTTTTATTCAGCAACCCCCTTTTCAAAATCTTGGATACACAACTCTGATCATAGATATCATTTTTGTGAGCACTAATAAATCTGCAGGTCTCCCTCCAATTAATTACCACAAGCTCAGTGTTTTAATTTGAGGTTGCAGAAAGGGTGTCTTTAATTGGGCCTTTAATTTTAGAGGTAGATCTGTGCATTATAATAGATACTCAAAAACATTACTACAATTACTATGCAATGCGTAAGATAGGCACATAAACTAGCTTGAAATACTTGTGTATAAATGTTCATTTATATTTAGACCGAAAAAATATACAGATATGCCTACAACTGTATTTCTAGAAAACGTTCAGAATTGTTTTAATAGTTTTCATGTTCCTGTATAAAATCACAATCTAATCCCTCGGCGATCTAATTCTTAGGGACTATCAAAAGTGTTTTGAAGAGGCATGACCAATGATTTCAATTGTTTTTCAATTTCCATTGCATCTTGTATCCATTGGCAAAAGGTGCGTAACAGTGCAACATTAATAATTTGTGATATCTAATGCAATAGAGGAGATTCACTTTCCCTGTTGATACGGTACCATAGTAGGCCTATCATAATTATTTTGGTAAATTATGTAACCATAAAATGTTATTATAATCAAAATTAATTATCTTGTCATTGCTGGTCTAAATGTGCATCGGCTGTAAAGGACTGGACTAGAATCTGCTGTGTTATGGTATACGCATTTAGTTCGAGATATTCATTGGTGGTGAGGAATAAATGGACCTTTTCGGAGTGCCAACCGAACTTAACATTTGACTAACCAGAACAGGGCATGGAATAGGTGCGTGTGACCATAGCAACAATATCCATAGGGCGGGGCTTAGCGAAAAGTTCCATTACACAGTGTGGGGAAACATCACGCATAGGTTTGCACACATCCACGAATATGTTGTATAACTGTGTTGTATAACTGTAAATTTTAAATAAAGTAAAATTTATAACTTTATGGCAGTATAAAAATGTTTCTCATTTTATATCTACTAAGGATCAAACCCCTAAGGAGTACAGAAGTTCTGTTGTCTATCATTTTAAATGTCCAGGCTGCAATAGTGATTATATTGGTAAGACAGATAGGTGCTTAATAACTAGACTTAAAGAACATTCTTCACGATCTGATAGTGTTATATTTGATCATGTTAAAAACTGTGAGGCATTCCAATATGTTTTAGGATTACAGGGTATACTTGAAAATGATAATGTCGTCTGTAATGCAAGTAATAAATTAGGTTTAATATTTTCTAGTACTAACATTATTGACAGCTCCCGCAACTGGTCTATCCTATTGTTTAAAGAAGCGTTCCTATACTTAGACTACACCCTTTGCTTAACAATGGGCTCAGAGCTTCAAAAGAGCTTTCTTTGTTTTTGTAGGTATCTTTGATCATTAGAGTAAGAATGCTTTGATCTTTTGTTTAAATCACTGCTATGTCACCTACTAGAGGTAATGTTTTGATTGGTTAAACACTTTTGGTACTAGTGCATATATTATAAGTTTGCTAATATGGATAATTTTTTCATTCCTGATGATGACATAATTAATGTCGAAATATTGAATCCCAACACGATGGCGTGTATTTCAATACTTGGAGTATGTATTATACTTTCTTGTAAATTTATGAATATAAGCCAAATTGGGCTAATTTAATAGGTAGACTAACCCAAAAAACCATGCAGTATAACTATGACAACATAGCATGCTTTTAATGGTAGTGATGCGTAGTGATGCTAGTAGTAATCATGGTTTGTTTAATACAATTTTTTAGTTAAGTATGTAATCCTGATGCACTTATAACATATCACTCATTAAACGTATTGAATTAGTATATCAAATGCTCTCAGTTTTGTATTCTTTATTGTATACATAGGTTAAAAGCACATGACGGGTATAACGACCGAACATACGGTGGCCTGAGGGTAAATAACAGTCTTATCCCTATTGTTAATTCTTCGCCATTATTTTTTTTTTAGAAGTTGGGGACAGGATGGGGTGTGGAAAAAATTAACTTTTGTCATACAACATTTTAAAAAACTCGAATTAAAGAATTCATTTAAATCGATGTACAAAATTATCGACAAATTATACACAGATTGGAAAAAGGCATATTTTCGTTTATTTAAATTGAATACCACCTAATTTAAAGGTCTATAGTGTGGTAGTTTAAGGGTTCAACGTAGAAAATAGTATAAAAGAAAGTTTTGTTGGAATTAGAAGCATTCATTCAATACATCCGAAACCCGCATAAAAATTCATCTTGAGGAAAATTTTCTAGGTTTCTATAGTTTATTTGTATGTTATGTAACAGTCAGAAAAATGTAGGCTTTCATTTTTTATAAAATAGCGGTAACATTAGCATATTGTGTATAATTCTTATATTGGTATAAGCCCAAAACCTAACTTTTGAGTAATTTATACTTACAATTTTAGAAACAATTATATATACTTTTTGATATTTGTTCCAAGTAGGACTCTTTGTTGGACCTACAGACACCTATCCATGCAGATCACCCAGACTCATTGTTTGCAATGGTGGTTGAGTATAAATCTATCCCCAAAACTGACCTAATTAATTTTGTATTTAAATATGGAATGTGGTCTTAGACACAAATACAATAGTAACTTCAAAACTTCATATAAATGCTTTAGAAAACGCAAATTACTTATACATGTTTAAATACCCATTTATTAATATTCAAAATAATGTAGAATGACATCAATGGTATGCATTTCTCTGATATGGTCTTTGCTTGGACAACGTTTAAAGAAGATTAAGCACAGACCGAAGTGCTGCACACTTTTTTTAAAATAAGGTGATACATACATACATAATACAAAAATAATAGGCCTATTACATAAATATACAATGATACACGGGCAATGTTTTGGCAATTTCATCTGTAAGATGGCATATTGTGCCCCGAAACTATTTAGTAATAAAATTTCTAACCTTAATCTTATTTTGAATCACATATTTTATGATTTTGTTCTAGTGTACCATTGATGGTGTTTTCGTATCTTTGCCTCATCATAATTTCATATACATATACATATATACATACATGCATATAATAGTGTCTGCCTTATAGCGAGCCATGATGCCAACACAACACTGGTTTGCAAAGGATATTTTCAATGTGTTGTATTTCAATGTAATTTTTGCGTTTCACCTAGCTGTAACTCGTTTGAAACTCCAGAAAACGCAAATTACTTTAACATGCATGTTTAAATACCCATTTACTAATATTCAAAATACAAAAGAGAGAACCACTACCGTTTACTCGTGCGAATAAGCGCCCCGTTTGAATAAACGCCCCTCTTGAATTAGCGTCCTAAAAAATTCAATCATACAGTACAGTACATCACCAATTTAATTTTCCGCATCAACTATTCGCATCTATGTTAGCATTGTCGGTCGGTCAGTCCATCTATCCATCTGTCGGTCTATCAGTCTCCATATTAATTTTAACATGGTTTTCGGTTTTGATTTGATGCATCTTTACAATCCCGTTCTTGTTGTATTGTTACCCTTTTTGGATTTAGAACTACATTATTTAATATTTAAAAATTAAAATACTGTATGGCCATTTTCAGTCAACAAAAATAAACTGACCTCTCGTATCTAAGCAAGAAACCCTACAATGATCCTGCTAATCTGAATTCGCAGATGGCCAAAACGCTTACCACCACCACCACCACAGCCAATAATTTCATCTGCTGTTGTGTAAATACCACCAACATTCTTGTCATGAACCATGCTCGCTCGACGATTACCTTTACTTCACCAAAACCATTCGTTTATCTTCGATGAAAAGAAAGTACCCTTTGATTCCCAATTTCTGCACCCCTTCACTTTTCATCTACTTCCATAAGCGTCCCTCAAAAAGAGCCAAAAATATTTAAAGCGCCTTGTGCAAAAGCAGGAGATAAGAAGGAACATAATCACAGCAGTTTTTGAAATGACGCTCAAACTTAGAGTCAACGTCAACAACCGCAGCCTTACCTTGGGAGGCGATGGGGATTCTTCTTGAATAAAATCACTCCTGTGCCAGGTTATATTTACTATCGACAATATCCTTTAGTAATATTAGAAATACTGCGGCATACAGGTGTCATTCCAATAATGTTTTGTCCATGTTTTAGTGGTAACGTAGGCCTATATCTTTCCAATAATAAATATGACATTGATGATTCAGTATTATTACCAAAGTTTTCTGATTGTAATAGATATGCAAATTAGTCACCGTTTGTTAATCAATAAAATCCAATTATGAGATTATTATAGGCCTATTTGTATACGGTCAGGAGAATGAATATTAATAATAATTATGTTGAAATAGTTTTTCCCGGCGATTAACGGTGTGTTCTACGACGGCATCATGGAGCAGGACTCTTGCAGTGCCGGAGATTTTCAAAAAAAGAGGGGTGGGGGTTAGAGTCATCCACTTCACCAATTTGAGGTGG